GTGGCGGTCGGCTTCCTAGGAAGCCCCATGGCGCACCCCACCCCTCCTCCAAGGGTCCCCAGGAGTCAGAATCCACTCCCTGGCAGGGGGGCCGTGCAAGGTGTAAGCGTCCTCCCGGTGTCTCAGTCGTTCTGGGCTTTGCCTCTACGTGAAAGGTGGGCAATTGGAACCCATCGGGTGCTCCCGGTGGAAGAGGAGCCAGCCAACCTGTGTAAGCCCCCCGCACCCCCAAACAAAAACCCGAAGCCACTGCCGCTGAACGCCGCTGGCACTTTTGCTCTGTCCCATGGGACATGCGACATAGGGCCCGCAGCGGCTGAGGACAGGTCTCTGTCACACCTGAGGTTGAGAGCTGATGAGAGTCTCCCAGACTTTCTGACCCTGGGCCATGGGGTCTGTTACAATCTAGGCCTAAAATGGAGTGCTTGTTGTGTGCCAAAACCTCGCTGGAGCGTTTTATTAGCGAGGATTTATTTAATCCACACAAATACACGTGTCGGTGAGGGCTGCTGCCTCCCTTGTAAAATGGGGGTGACTGAGGCAATCGATTGCATAGCTAGGCGGTCAGATGGGCAGGTTTGAACCCAGAAAGGCAGACTGGAACACGGCGTCTTCACCGAGGACCCAGCCTCCTCTTGGCAGCGGCAGGGGTGCCGCCCTACCAATGGCGCAGGGAAAAATGCTTGGTGGTTCTTCCACAGAGGTTCCCTGAGTGGTTAATGGAAGGAGGTTTGGGTGCTAACCCAAAGGTTGCTGGTTCAGGCCCACCCAGTGGTCTCTCAGAAAGGGAGTTGGGAGTTGCCAACTGAGCAGCCCTTGATAACTTTTGATGGAGTGCAGTTCAACTGTCTTTGAATCCCATTTCTCCACAGACTTAAAAAAAAAAAAAAAGGCGAAACAAACAAAAAAGCCTATTCTCAAGTTTTCTAAAGGCAAGGTCTTAGTTTAAAAAAATAAAAGGTAGCAATTGTACAATACTGCCGGATTAGCTCCTAATAAAATGGTTTAAAAAAAAAAAAAAAAAAGGCGAAACAGACAAAAAAGCCTATTCTCAAGTTTTCTAAAGGCAAGGTCTTAGTTTAAAAAAAATAAAAGGTAGCAATTGTACAATACTGCCGGATTAGCTCCTAATAAAATGGTTTAAGTAAATACATAAAAAGTAAAGGAAGGGAAAAAATGTAAAAAAAAAAAAAAAAGCAAAAGAAGGAACATGGGTAGGCTTTGGAGACAAAGAGCCCCAGGGAAGGTCATCTTGTAAGTTAGGAGAGTTAGTACAG